CAGGCCGGCTCTGCTGGGGTGTTCCGTGCCAGTGTCCTCCAGTGCCCCACGGGGGCTGCTCAGCTGGCAGCGGCCTGATGGGGGTCTGGAGAGCAGCCCTGCCGAGGAGGACTCGGGGGTGCCGGGGGTGAGGAGCTGGCCAAGAGCCGGGCCTGGGCGCTCGCAGCCCAGCAGCCAAAGGCAGCCTGGGCTGCACCCCCGGCAGCGTGGGCAGCAGGGCAGGGAGGGGGTCCTGCCCCTCTGGTCTGCTCTGGGGAGACCCCCCTGGGGTGCTTGGGCAGCTCTGGAGTCCTCAGCACAGCAGAGAGAGAGACCAGCTGGAGCAGGGTGATAGGATAAAAGATAGATGTGTCTTTACAAATAATATTTTGGAAGATGGTGAGGACTTTTGTACTTATGTTTTAACTGCAATATATATATCCTAATGCAATATGCAGGCATAGTATAGCAGCTTTGCAAGAGGGTGTGGCTTTAACGAAGGCAGAGCTTGCAGGTATAGTATAGCAGCTTAACAGAAGGGTGTGAGAGGCTTTATGGAAAACAAGGACAAAACCCGATTGTCACCATGAACTGGCAATTTTGCTAACTTTGGTGGCATTAGTGCGCATGCTTAATAAACTCATACATAGTAACTTCTCCTCCCAGGGGAGGCATAAGGTGAAGTTAATGACACATGCAATGCCTGATGTGAAGGGGGGCACATGTTGAGGGGGACATGTAGGACGCATACCGGGCAGTCTGTACACTCTGAGTACCTCAGCCAATGGGGAAAGGAGGAGGGAAATTTGCGGCTGGGAAATTAGGATAAAAAGGGGGCTGTGTCCCCCAGCAAAACTGAGAGACCCCACTGGGTTATGCCTGTGGACTCTCCCTTTATTCAAATAAAGTGTTTTTACAGGACTCCTCTGTCTGCCATTGGAACATTGACCTCTGGCAACGGCATTTTCTGCACAAGGGCCAGAGGAGGCCACAAAAATCAGATGAGGTCTGGAACCCTCCCTGCTTTGAGGCCAGGCTGAGAGAGTTGGGGTTGTTCAGCTCTGAGAAGAGAAGGCTCCAGGGAGACCTTGTTGCAGCCTTTCACTACTTAAACGGGGCCTAGCCAAACAATAGGGACAGTCTTTTTAGCAGGGCCTGTTGTGACAGGACCAGGAATGATGGTTATAAACTAAAAGAATGGAATTTAGATAGAAGGAAGAAATTTTTTATACTGGGGGTGGTAAAACACTGTCCCAGGTTTCCCAGAGAGGTGATAGATGCCCCGTCCCTGGAAACATTCCAGGTCAGGTTGGACGGGGCTCTGAGCAACCTGCTCTAGTTGCAGATGTCCCTGCCCATGGTAGGAGAGTTGGAACTGGGTGATATTTAATGTCCCTTCCAGCCCAAACCATTCTGTGATTCTCTCCAGCAGCTCTGCCTGTGTCCCCACAGACATATCCTCAGCAGACAGTGCTGCGATCTCCACTCTTAACCATTTTTGTCATACTGATTATACATAAGATAAAGATGTCAGCTTTGATTCACAGCTTAATGGCTCTAAGACAGTATGGTAATTTATACAAGGCTTGCTGAAACCTCCTGCTTTTCCCTTTTATTTCACCAGATCCTGCTAGTATTGGAGGAAGAAGCCAGTGTTTCACACATGGAGTTGCTGTACTCGGTCATGTAAGGAGATACTTCCCTTGACAATTATCAGTGTTAGTGATATGAAGGATCTTATTTACATCTTCCTTTATTCTGGTGTGCATGTGCAGCCCTGGGACTTTGGCAGTGAAACACAAACCATTTCCAAGAATATTTGGAGCATGTGTAAGCAATATTTTTTACATCTAGAAAAATCCAGGTTTAGGGCTATGTGATACGAAACTGGAGCTGGAGTTTCCAGTTCTGTACATGTTCTGTAAATGTTCATAAGCCGGTGGAGGTACAGGGGCTCCAGCTGCAGGGGACAGATGGGGTCTTCTGCTGTTGCTGGTGTAATGGGGAAAAAAGCAGAACTCAGAGGGATCCCAGGCCTCTGAAGTCCTGGGTTTGATATCTTTGCTCACATACCTGCCTTCCACAGCAGAAAGTTTTTGGACTCCCAGAGTATCCACTGAGCTAATTAGTCTAGTCCCATTAAGCTCTGCTGGGCTTTCTGGCCTAAAAGGGCTTGGTGAGCTCCCTGGCTACAGCACAGAGCTGGGGCCTTTCCCATATTTCAGATTGTACCTCTTCAAGGCAGACCCTATGACCCTGCTTTTCTGTGGTCCATGGTAAAGCGGGAATGTAAATGCCTGGCACTGTGCATTCCAATCATGCCCCTTCCAAACAAATATTTTGCCAATGCCCTGAGTCCCTGTGGAAGAAGACAAGTGGAGGCAACACAGTGAATGAAACTGGAGCACAAAGATTTTCTTCTCTTACAGTTTTATTGCACTTCAAAAAAAAAAAAATAGCATCTAGGATGTGACATAACGTGGGAAATGGGGCAGGAAGTGCCTGCCTTCAGTTCCCACAACAGCTGTTCTGAAGGATTTGTAAGGCTGATCCTAAGAGACCGTGTCTTCCTCCTCCTCTTCCTCCTCCTCCTCCTCCTCCTTCTTTGAAGTGTGGAATTCGTAGATGACAGCACAGATGCCAGCCAGCCAGGCCGCCACGGTGCCAGCAAAGAATATGCAGAAGCCAATGAGACACAGGAAGATGTAGTCTTGCTTGTGCAGCTGGGTCAGGCAGCTGAGGCGGAGCTGTGCCTCCACCGCAGGCACCTCCAGGGCCCGCAGGCCCTCTGGGCTGTGGCAGGTGATGTTCTCAGCGTCTGCGGAGGGAAAAGCAGAAGCAAGGCTCTCTTGCCTGTGTCTTAAGCATTCATTAACAGGGGTCCTGCCAGAAAAATGATGGAGGAGTTTGCTAAACTCCTAAAAGACGTCTGCAGACTTCACACCCCTGTCACTCCCTGGCTTAGGACAGGCAAACCATTGCCAAACCTTCACCAAACCATCACCATCCACAGCTGCCAGGTTGCCAGGATGATTTCTGTGGTGTTGCCTCCATCAGAAAATACCATCTGTGGGGTTATGCCACTGTGTCAAACTGCTGTCCCTGCATTGTACATCGCTGCTGATGGAGCACCTTTATTTTAATACAAGAGCACTTGTGGGTTGTTTTTTTTCATCTCAGACACTGTCTGAAGTGATAGAGCCTGAATTATGCTGGAATAATGAGGCTTGGGCACATTTGACAAGGAGGGTGGTTTGCAGCTGGGCACAGCCTCTGTGAGAGAGGAAGAAGAACCTCCTCAGTGATTCATTTCCACTGAAATAAGGCCACTAGCCTGTCACATTGCAACATACATGGTGATAAAACCGATGCTGGCTTTTCCCTCTGAAGCTAGCAAAGGCTGCGTGTGGTAAAAGCTGTGTCTCCTCGTAGTGTCTGTAGAGCACAGTGTGCCCTCATCCAGGGCCCTCACTGTCCCCTGCAGGTTTTGAACTGTCGGGGCCAGACACAGCAGTGTGCCAGACACAGGCTGGTCACTGCTTGATGCACTGGATGGATGGGCCTGAGGGAATCATGGACTGTTAAGGGTTGGAAGGGAAACATGGAAGTCATCTAGTCCAACCTCCCTGCTCCTGCAGGGCCACCCAGAGCAGGTTGTCCAGGATCGCATCCAGGTGGGTTTTGAATCTCTCCAGAGAAAAAGACTCCCCAGCCTCTCTGGGCAGCCTGTTCCAGGGCACTGGCACCATCAAATGAAGAAGTTTTTCCTCATGTTTAAATGGAACCTCCTGTGTTCCAGTTTGAGCCTGTAATCCCTTGTCCTGTTGCTGGGTGCCTCTGAAAAGCACCTGGCCCCATCTTCTTGACCCTCACCCTTTAGATATTGACAAGCATTGATAAGATCCCCTCTCAGTCTGCTTTTCTCCAGGCTAAACAGCCCCACAGCTCTCAGCCTTTCCTTGTAAGAGAGATGTTCCAGTCCCTTAATCATTTTTGTAGCCCTCTGTTGGACTCTGGTAATTCCTTGTCTCTCTTGAACTGGGGAGCCCAGAACTGGACAGAGCACTCCAGATGTGGCCTCACTAAGGCAGAGTAGAGGGGGAGGAGGACCTCCCTCAACCTGCTGGCCATACTCTCTTTAATGCACCTCAGGAGACCTTTCATTGCTGGGAAAGGGAAAGGCAGCACTAGAGGGGAACAAGCTACAGGGGATTTATATTATATTACATTACATTATATTTTATCATATATTACAGCTGCAGTTCATGCTGATATCTCTCATTGTCCTGAGTATAACTGGAGAGCTTTTATCTCTCTATCACTCAAATACATCTAGACTTGGGCAACTCTGTGTCAGCTCCTAGATGGTACAGGTCCAGCTGAGCATAAAACACTGCTGCAAAGGTGCTCTGTGAAGTGGCAGCAGCTTTTTGAAGCCCAGGATGGGAACCTGCTTGCAGCAGATTTCAGGGCTCTGTCCCAAGATCCCTCTGCACTGGAGCTGTCGGCTCCTGTCACAGCCCTCAGTTCAAGGCCCCTGGTCCCGCTGAGGCAGGAGCTGCCCGGGGGCAGGCGGGTGCCGGTGCTGGTGCTGGAGCTGGAGCTCTGTGTGCAGCCCTTGCAGAGCCTCACACCAGGCCTGGGAGGTGCACGGCCTCCTGCAGGCTCGCCCACAGCTCCTCACCAGCACACAGCAAAGCCCAACAGAACAGGGAAGTGGAGCAGAACTCTGGGAGCTCCCAGGTTTCTTTGGCTTTCCCATTTTCCAGGGCACGGCACAGTGATCCATACTCCTACTTCCACTCTTTGCTGCCACTCCACTCCTTTCCCTTCTCCTACCCTCCCAAACTGACTGGAGTGAGCTTTATCCTCCTGTTACAGGGTTCAGTGTGTTATCTGCAGTCTTACTGATAAGAACAGTACTTTTTTTACACTGTTCCATAACTGCCTGTAACCAGTACGAGGAAAATAAGAAACTTTACAGTCTATAGGGAGCTTACTACTTCTAATAAGACACAGAGATGTCCTTAGTTCAGTTCTGTCCAAACACCAGCTTCCATTTGCCCTTCCCTTTTCTCCCCCTGGGCTCTTTTGTGGCCCTCTCTTACTCGATGGACAGGCTTTTCAAACAGTTCCTCTTTTGCGCTTTCACCACAGCGTCCTGCATTACTGAAAATCAAGCGTTCTGTGGTGGTATGCTGGGCTCTGTTCTTTCTCAGTTTGGTAAAACTGAGTTTGTGTGCTGCAGCTGCAGAGCAAAGCACTGCCCGTGGGACCAGGGTTCTTCTGGGAAAGGGAACTGGTTTTACCCTGCCTTGTGAACACTCAGTGTCCATGGCCCAGTTGTAGAATCTTTCAATATGATGGGAAGCCGCTGATTTTGGCATCCCAGGTGATGTAAGGAAAGAAGTCTTGGAGACCCTGTTTTCAACAGATGTTTTTTATTGAGAAGCAAGCTGCACTGTGCTGCTGCAGCCCGTGGGACTTGGTGCTCACACCTGCATTGCATGTACATTTCTTATTTTGGAAAACTTAAAATAAAAGAGACCTAATTTGCTCTGGGGTGCTGCAGGAAGAGTGGGAACATGCGGAGCCTCCCAGCCATAAGCAAACAGACACTTTTCTGAGCACAGCTTGTGTTCTGTTTCACTGGATCAATCAAATTTCATCTAGAACCCAACCCATAGCTCCCATGGAAACTCTGAAGGGTCTTTCACTGACTTGTGAGCGTGGGGTCACAGTCTGCTACAGATGATCAGTCAAATGTACCTGCTCTGAGGGCCAGGAGCATGGCGACAGCTGGAGGTGGCAAGATTTGTCATTTTTATCTGTCTTAGCACAACAGCTGTGGTGCTCGT